AGTCAAGCACCTTTTGGAACATGGCATGAGCTTTCAGTTGGCCTTGAATATTCCAAGCTACGCGTCGCTCTCGTCCCGACGAAAGCCTTTCAGGTTAATGTTTTGTCCCTAGAGGATATTCTCTGACGCTCATAAAATGAACTTATGGACATTATATGAATACGAACAATTATATAGTTGTCCCAGTGGGCTCGCAGTTTGGAACCCTGTTCACAGTTAAAAAAAACAAATGACCAAAAATTGGGTTTTGGATCCACAACTAGCTTGAGCTAGCCTGTAGACCGCATCATAAGTTGAATGGTGGTTGAGGGGTTTTACGGGTGGGGCAAAACACAGGACGGGGATCAAGAAAACACAGAAAATATATAAATTTCTGCGAAAGTTTTATTGTACGCTGTCATTTAGCAAAGAAAGTGGGCGCGATAATTGAAAATAAACAAGAGCGATTCCTAAAAATAACCGACTTTGAATAAAACGCCGCTGTTAAGTTTACATTTAGTCAGTAAGCGAGGGAAATTTCAAACAGTGGGAACGGTGAATACTAAATGATGTTTACTGTCATACTGAATTAAAGGGTATGCTTTTGTAGTTGCCGTCTAATTGTGGGTCCTACACCCTATCGTCACCAAAAAATGACATGAAACTGTGATTTCTTTCAAAATAGGCATAAGGAGTGAAAACTTCCGAGCGCGCTTCCCGTTACAGAAATACTGATAATCAATTTAAAAAGTACATGCTACCTAAATAGTTGTAACAAAAGTCTGAGCATCAAAACAATCGCCTCCATCAATAAATTAATTGAGCTGCCTTTTTGTGCTGGCACAACCCTACAAACTAACTGGTTACGTGAAAGAAATGCAAAATGTTTCATCCAATGCCGCATGAGTATTCGCGAAATATTAAAACATAATTGAAGTAATCGCCCTACGTTTTCCGTTTATACTATGGCAGATTTTCAACTAACGTGGCTCTCGCATAACGTCTGAAAGATGCTCCAAGGCATTTGGTGTCCTTAAGCACCCTGAAAATTTATAAAAACAAAAAAATGACGTTTTACATCTCATCATCCTTTTCACCAAAATTTTATCCGCACCCAATCAAGGATAAACTAATTATTCCTCTCCACTTTTTCATCAACTTCTCTCAAATCTGCAAGCATTCGGGCCCGTGTTGTGCAGGTTTTTAATTGACTACGCGAATTTCGCCCGACAGCTCGCCTCCCAACTTCCTTTCTTCTAAACGTTAACCTCTTCTCCTGCTCGGTAGAATGATTTATTGTGTCGTGGAGTGTGTGCGTGCGCATTTGTTGAGGTTGATTAATTACACACGACCTTCCAAACGGGGTGCAGCTTGGTGAACCAGCGCGTACTCTAGTATAGATCTTCCTCCCAAACCTGTCAATCTACTTTCTCGTGAATCTTCCTCCTCCTCCTCCTCCTCTTCGCCCTCCCAAAACCCAGTACAGTCACATCTGATGCTTGGGGTCGTGCGACATGGCTTCTGTGTCATTACTCGATCCAGTTTCCAGACTCAGTGTCCGGATAACGAGCGCAGATGGTTGAGGAAGCAGAGAATTCGTGGTAAATGCTGCGCAATCCTACTGCCATCATATAAACTAATTAAGTTGCGCGCAAGTCACCGTCCCTGCGCCCGACATGCGGTTGAGTAGACGGTGACATCACTGTGTGTGTGAATGCCCGACTTTGTTATCATTTGTCATCGACGGTTGTGCGAGAATGGTTACTTTAGAGTGCACAATGATAAATATCTGTCTTAAACAACCAATAATAAAGTATTTGTTTGAAAAATCTCGAAGAGCCGGTCGGTAAGGTGCGGGATAAAAACTCCCCAGGCAATACAATTAGCCTTGCGCTAAATCCCAGAAAGGATACGAATTCCCCGTGCCAAACCTAACATGTCTCACGGGAGGTTCCCATTCTGTCATCATATCCTTCGTTCAAACCATGACTAACATGTTGTCAGTAAATATCAAATGTCGCGGGATCGAGCCCAGGTGTTCTACATTTCGGGGTTGGGTATGACTGGCTGACGACGGCTAATAAGCCAGAAATGGCCATTCAAGTCTGCCTTGTCTTTGTCGGTAATACCTTCCTGCCTATTTCATGCACCAAAGTGTGGCTACTGGTTTGGCTCGAGAGAGAGCCCTAAGGCATAAGGGGCGAGTGATTTCCGTAAAACGATCAGTGAGCGTCCCTCTACCGAAAGGAAACTTTTGTGCACTCTCAAAGGTACCCAGGGTGGTGTTTGTGTTGCCGCATAACCATGAGATTTCGCGAAAGGTTTATGCACTGTCTTTAGTCTCGAGCCAAATGCCCATTGGAGATGACAGGGAGAAACGAACATTTATATAACTTGAGGTCAAATCTTTAAATACGTTTCAGTTAATTTGGGTTATTAAGCTGATGGGTATAAATGAAAATTTACGTGATTTTGGCCTTAAGCAGAGGATCCCTCTGATCTCTGACGACGAGCATGGTTGGGAAGGCCCATGTGTTTACATGCCATAGGAGGTTTTAAGTATATTTTTAGTACGCATGCGAAGTTAACCCTTGTTTTTTGAAAAAAACTGACGGACTACCTGCCAGGGGTCGCATTGTGGACACTAGTGTCTTTATGATAGTGGGCGCTCACCGATCAGGATACGGAACATGCTCGTTCCGTTGTGCCTTGGGGCTCATACTAGAACCCACGCAGGCAGCCGCACAGCGACTAGTAGAATGATGTAAATCAGGTGGTACCGACAAAGACAAGGGAGACCGGAATGACCATTTCTGGCTTATTAGCCGTCATCAGCCAGTCATGCCCAACCCCAAGTGTGGATCACTTGAGATTCGAACCACCTGATTCGCATCATTCTACTAGTCGCTGTGCGACTGCCCGCGAGGGTTCTAGTATGAGCCCCAAGGCACAACGGAACGAGCATGTTCCGTATCCTGATCGGTGAGCGCCCGATCACAACCGACAGGACAACGGGCCCGTGGCTCAATGGTAGAGCGTCAAACTCCATGACCAAAGATCCCGTGTTCGAATCTCAAGTGATCCACACTTGGGGTTGGGCATGGCTGGCTGATGACGGCTAATGAGCCAGAAATGGTCATTCCGGTGTCCCTTGTCTTTGTCGGCACCACCTTATTTACATTAGCGTCTTTGTCAACAGACTACTTAATAGCTTAAAATATTTTGACTCAAAGCCCTAAATGAATTCTTTTTGAAAATCTGCACACTGGTGAAAGCGGATTTGATATCCACTTCTTTGCCTTGGGGCTCTGTTCCGGACAGCGTATCATTACTATTACAAAACGCCCGACAACATGACGCACTGTGTTTCAAAACCTTCATAACTTGCTGTAATATTGTTAACCTTAAGTAATCACTCTCGAGAATAATTTCCTTAAGGAGAACTCGAGTTTCAGGAGTTGAATATGAAAATTGGAATTTCTGAAGTATTCTGCTTGAAAAAATTAAAGTAATCACAGATTAAAGCTTGGACTAAGGAGTTTAGTAAGGTGCACGACAAATTAATAAAATTTTGAATAAAATCATTAGACGTGTTTAAAATAGAGAATATCGCAGAAATGATGATGCGTAGAGCAAAACCGTTGAGTTCTGAACACCGCGATATACGGGCGTCTTTTGGATGACTGGACAAAAAAACAGTGCGAAAGCCACTGAGAAGGTACGGTGTGACGGTTCCATTTTTCTTTCAGTGTTTGCATTTACCATAAAGAATAAAATTATCACTTTCCCACACAGACGTTGTAAAAAGCGTGAACCCCTTTGATCGATAATTTGACGAAATATCCTTCTCTGATCGCGAAATACAGTAGGTGGGCAAACTGATGAAATGTCAACCGAAATACTGAAGTGCGTTTTCGTTTCAACAAGAATAATTAAGTAAAGTCGCAGAACTAATCATCAAGCAGCGTAATTCTATAATAATCCAGTTACCCCAGGATGCTGACTTTTGAAAGAAAGTCTTTGCCGCAGCAAGCGAAAGCTCTACTCTGCAAAAAAGTACTGCGTAAGTGGCATGCATGTTTCTCACAGATTTTTGATGTCCTTAAATATTCAATTATACGTCATGGAAAACTTGCATAAAAATATGCATTTTTTGTTCGCTCGGCCGAAAATTGCGTCTTCTTCCAATTTTATACTCAAAAGAAAGGCATAATGCGGTTTTTAAAATCTTTTTTCAATTTCCGATTAATTTTTGAACCCGACCTGCATTTACACTTGCATTCAAGGTTTCCAAATTACAAGCCATATATCTTCCGTGTACGGAAAACCATACATTGCTCTACGGTATAAAGTGGACACCATATGGGATTCACAAAATTTGGCTGTGGATTTGAGCCATGTTGCTAACTTTACGAGTCACGCAGGTTAACGCCGATACATGATGTTTTATGAACGGCCATTTCACAGTATTAGAAAATCTCACAATTAGAAACTTTTGTAAAACTGAATTATACTCTTCTTTTGAGTATAAAATTGGAAGAAGACGTAATTTTCTGCCGAGCGAGCAAAAATGCATATTTTTGTGCATGTTTTCCATGAAATATAATTGAATTTTTAAGGACATCAAAAATCTGTGAGAAAAATGCATGCCACTTACGTAGTCCTTTTTTGCAGAGTATAGCTTTCGCATGTTGCCGCAAGGAATTTTTTTCAAAAGTCGTCATCCTGGGATGACTGATTTAATATATAATTACGCTGCTTGATGATTAGTTCTCCAACTTTACTTAATTTATCTTTTTGAAACGAAAACGCTTTTCAGAATTTCGGTTGACATTTCTTGATTTAGCCCACCTACTGTACTTATAATAGTCAAAGTGCATTAAACTTGATCGTCCAATGGCAGCTGATCTATCAGAATTGATTAACAAATATCCGAATCCCAGGATAGACATCAGCGGTTTGATTACTTTCCAGTTTTTAGTAAGTATTCATAAATTGTACACCCTTACAGCTTAGCAACGATGCATGCCTCGTCAGTCGCGACTGCGGGTATCCAACGCCAGGTAGGGGTGTCGTTCGCCAGTTAGGCCTAACTTTGTGACTGAAATAAACAGTGCCGTCCTTCTCTTATACTCCAGATCTAGAGCGTTCACAAGTGACCACCCATTAATGAATACTTAGTAACTTGAGAAAATTACCGTCAATATCAACTGGGACCGGACTACCCATTTCTGACGCATTTGTCGTCATCAAGCAACTGTACAAAATTATCGCTTTGTTGTCGTGGGAAAATCGTGGAATTTGACTGACAACGGACGCGTAGAGCGAAGAAATAACTTTGCACAGCAAACAAACCGCATATTTACAGATGCTTTGTTTGTGTTAGAGAAAACACCGATCTTCACGTTTCAAGTGGCTATATTTCAGAGTTTTCTGTCCCCCGAGTACAGGCTACAAACTTTAAATTAACGGAAAGGCTTCACTCTTCAGAGATAACTATACCGTGATTATCTCCCAGAGAACGCCATTCACCCTCCTGGCCACGATAAACCAACTTCAAGTTCGACTAAGGCCGGATTCCCCTGGAAGTGGGCGACCGCGTGCGGCGCGAGCTGTTCGAGCCATGTTTCCCCGGGAACCTGTTCCTCGACAAACTCAATAACCTCCCGCCTCTATATTCATTACTTAGACTTTGTCTGAAAGGAGCACTTGTCCCCGCGGGTCGGACGCGAGCTAACGTTTATTCCCGTGGCGCTATCACCGGTTCATATTGCCGACTAATCGACACCAGTGACGGAGCTGCAATAATTGCCGAGTCGAATGCGGACACGAATGCGTTCATCGCACAAACTACGTCCACCGGCGGTGAATGTGGGAACTGTAAATTGTGCTAGGCATGTGGTAGCCTACTAGATGCGTCCTACAAATGCAGCACTCCGTGTGCGTTCATTACACTTACCTTCGAAATGTCAGGCCAATTAACGACTTGTTCTCCAATAGTAGTGGAAATGCGATTCCCAGGTGACATATCAAAAGAAGAGACGCTCAGTGACCTGCTGCGTAAAAATTACGATGGGGGTGGTGGCCAGCCCACAGCTCAGGAGCTCATACAATTCATTGGGCATTGGCACAAAATATTCTTTACCTTCGAAGGGATCACATACAAGCAAATCAAGGGTACTATAATGGGTTCCCCAATCTCCGGGTTCATTGTCTAGGCGGTTCTACAAAAGCTGGAGAGAGGACTATTCGAGGAGAACAAACCCAAGTTTAGGGCACGCTGCGTTGATGACACCTCTGTAATCATCGACGGGGATAAAATCAACTACCATGCGGAGCTGCTGAACTCAATCATTCCTTATCTGCAGTTTACGATGAAAGAGGAAGTAAGGGAAAAACTTCCAATAGAAACGAAGAGATGAGACCCAGGAAGTAGTCTTGAAGAAGGAGACACGATCGCCGCGACAAGAGCTTTATTAGCCTGACGTTTCGTATTCCTACTCGAATCCATCATCAGAGACAAAAAAGCAGAAACGGGTGGTTGCTGCACAAGGGGCTGCGGTATTTATAGGATGCCGTAGTCATGCTACCGCATACCTATGAACATTCACGGCTCCCCCCTTCATCCGGGATCGTCGCACTTGGTGTGATCACTGCCCGATGGCCGACATTCGAGTCGATAATTCCTGCAATTTCATCACGTGCGTTGGATGTTGGCGTGATGATTGCCCGACCATCTGACGCACCGACCCCGGTGTTGGGAAAAGTGTTCACCTCTGCGCTCCCCGCATGGCTTGTAACTCCGCCTAGGCGAAGTTTTAGCACGCAGTATGGAGTGGGAAGATCGTTGCACTTGTTGATGGACTGGGGGTCAGTAAACCATGATTCCAGTAGCTCTCGGCTCACTCGGTTGTCACCTCTTGCGAGAATTTCGGCCTCATCGAATTTAAATGTGTGGCCGGGTCTCATCGAATGAGCCGCAACTTGAGAGCTGGCGTCATTTCTGCGCACCGCTGCCGCGTGTTCGGCCATTCTCGTTCGGAGCTGTCTTCCGGATTCTCGACGTAGTTGCTTTGTCCGCAACTGCAGCAGATCCGATAAACGACTCCAGACGTTTCTAGCCGTGGCAGTGGGTCTTTCGGTTTCATGATCAGACGCCTGATGATTGCCTCCGGTCTGTGTGCCACTCCAACCCCAAGTGGTGCGAGAAGGCGGCCGACAGCTTCCGAAACGTTCTTCACATACGGAAGTGCCCGCCAACATTTGGTGTCCGTGCGGTTAGGCCTTTCGTCCCTTTAGCGTATGCACCGGTCGACGAAGTTGCGTGGGTAGCCATTGGCTTTGAAGACCCGTCGGAGGTATTGTAGTTCGTCAATTTTGTCTTCCGGCTCACTGCAGTGCGTTTCGACACTTCATTGTCCCGGCGATCGTGTCTCCTTCTTTAGAACAAACTTCCATTCTTGGATGTTCTCGTCTTTCGCTAACCCAACGGCAAACTAGCGACGTCGGTCTTCAGAAAACCGACAAACACGCTGCAAATGCTCAGCTACGACAGCAACCGCCCGTTATGGCACAAACGAAGCTATGTCCACACGCTATACCGACGGGTGGAAACTCGTTGCAGCATGCCAGCCGCCAAACTGGACGAGATAAAGCTCCTCCAATAACCCTTCAGAGACAACGGCTATCCGCGGACATTTACTGAACGGAGCTGAAGGCAGCCAAAGAAATGGAATGAAGAGCATAGTCAGTCAAACTCGTGACGGAGCATTCCGTATACTAAATGGATCTCCGAAGCCACTCGGAATATGTGTTGACCACAGGCCTGACTCAACAATCCGCCGCCACGTGATGCGTCCAAAAGATCCGATCCCCAAGCACGAGATGTCGGCCGTTGTCTACCGACTTCATTGCAGCTGCGGAAGGTGCAACTACGTTGGAGAAACCGGCCGACGGCTGCAAACGCGAATGCACGAGCATAAGTTGACCGTGCGAAGTTTGGACCCAAAGTCGGAGGTAGCAACCCATGCCGCGCAAATTGGACACATCTTCAACTTCGACGCTGTTAACATTGTGGGCGGGGGCGGTGATCATACAGCAAGGCGAGTGCAAGAAGCCTGGATGTCCACCGACTGCTCTGTCAACCGCCACATCAATTTGCCTCCCCCATATCTGATTTCACTAACCTTTTTATCGAGGGCTAGTCAGGGCGCGGGACAATCGGGGTCGTCAGTCATCTACGCGGCCGACAGGGGGTAGGATTCAGGTCACAGTGACATGCGGGTTGCATGCAGCCACATAAGCGGCATTGGCGGGTCACACATTGAAAAAAGTGCGCCCTATAAGGGGAGCTGTGCGTAGGACTTTCCAGTCTCTGAGGGTGGGTAGACGAATCAACTACTCGAAACGTCGGACCTCCAACAAACCCCTCCCGGTGAACATCTCTTCGCCTTTTGTCTCCTTCTTCCCTCTAAATCGGAGCCTGTCAACCGATATTTAAACGAGACGACTGAATAACCGGGTTCCAGATTGTTTAGAAAGCTCTTACTTGCAGCTTCTACTTCAGCGACAAAAGGAACATTCTCCGTCCTATGAGCCCGGCCCTATTCGTAGGACTTAGGTGAGGACTCAGTAAATTTCCCTTCCGACAGGCCCATTCGTCCATCGCGGCTCAAAGCATTCTGCCACCTGTCCTTCACTCGTTAAATCACCTGCATACGGTTTCGGGCGCAGACATCCGGAGTAGTAGATCAGTTATGGTTATACACAGCGCATCCTGACCGTCCAACCCACGCAGTAATGCGGATTTCGTCCCTTATCAGCCTAGCTATCTAAAATCTGTCAGGTACCCTCCGTGGCCCCTGGTTCACTTCCGTTAGGACACGTTGCTTTCTATCCTGTCTGCCGCCTGTCAGAACTGCTGGTCCGACGTCAGTCTCAAAATCTATGCGGGAGGGGGGCAGCATCACGAAGTCCAAGAGCATGAGGTTGCTATCTGCACCTCTGGTCGCAGAAGGCGAGACAACGAAATGACAACAGCTATACTGGGCGTTAGGAGTAGGAGTACGGACCGGTACAACAGTTTCCACTAGACGACACGAAGGCCAGTTTCTTCAGGGCTGACCCTCATAATACTGCCTGGGTGATGTAACACATAAAGAAGGCAAAGGGGGTGAGTGTTAAGGATGCGCAGGAAGTCGTCTATCGCCGTCTCAGGGGGTGCACCAGAACATGCGAAGAGTGACAACTTAATCAGATTCATTTCGGATGTACTGGGTATGTCCTTGTTGTAGATTGAATCGCTAGGCGTAGTATACGCAATAGATGGAATTTTTCAACTTACTTTTTTTATCTATGTAAAATGTTTCTGTCCCAATGTCAGATTAAGGATAACGCTGGATTTTGGAAGGGATGGGATACTTGGACGGAAAATTATTCTTCAACCGCCTCTTAGTCGCCCCAACAACTGCAAAGGACAAGTAACCAAGGAAGCGTACGCGATGAAGGTATATTAATTCAGACGGAAAATATGAAACAAAAAAGTGTCCACGATCCAAAAACCTAGTCTACTTAAATGCAGAAATATAAAGTGAAAGAAGAAAAGCAAAATATGAGCTCTTATCGTGTGATACGAATACGATTTTGGAGATCAGTACTATCGCTTGTGCTAGTGGGTTCAAACCTGCACGAATGAAGACAGAAAAGGCTGATTTCGAGTGAACGGAGTACCGATACCTAGCAAGGACATTGTGGGTAATATCCGGTAAACCTACCTTGCCGATAACTGCCCTGAGTTCTTCCGATAGGCTTACATCAGCAAGCACATGTGAATTCCATACATGATTTAGCTGACGCATATTTTGGATATCTTCTGAAAAGCAGTCACCGCGATGGCTTTCCTTTTATCCTAATTATGGCAGCTTTGTTTCACAGACCTATTTCTCAGCTGTGATTATTCATTCTCGCCTCCTACAGAATCACCTTTCAGGATGTGCTACCAGAAAAGTCGCAGGCACGAAGTTTTGCTTTTGAATTTTGTTAAAGATTTCTTCGTTTTTTGCCTGTATCTGGAACATGACGAATACACCTCCCTCTCTTGATTCCCGCGTCTTTTTTGACTAAAACAAATGAGTTTATGCTTGCACAGACTCCGGTTAGGCGATGAATGCCCATGAGAATGCATTCGAAAACCCGTCCAGGTCAAGTCGGTTCAAACTCTGAGGTTGGAAGGAACATTTCTTTGTAGGTTTGTTTTCATCATAAATTACGTAGACAAGTATGTACGGGGATCAAAGATGGCATGTCCTGACGTTTACTCACATGGACCAATAAAATTTCGGAGAAATACAGACTAGCCTAGAAATCATTGCAGTATTTACAAACTGCCTACCTCCTGTTTACACAGTGGTAATTGCAGCTTTGCAATTTCCTGAGAAATGAATAGCTGACTTGGTACATTTACATGGCCACTTCATTGAAGCCGGTGCCGAGAATTTTCTCCATGATCATGCATTAAGTTCTGGGAGATCAAAAAGCCTAACAGCAAAAATTGGATTACACATCAGAAAGCGCCTAGGAAGTACTGGTAGATCCACTGATGACGCCGAAACCCCCTCAGCTATGTCATGTGTCACCACAACATTGGCGGAACACATTTCTAACCATTTATAGAATGCACGTTATGGAAAGTTGGCATATAGATCAGTATTAAATATCCGTTAGATATCGCTGGTGCCCCTAAAATAACCGACGAAAGAGATCCGCTGGGCCAGTGTGCACGCAACATTTTTTGAGTAAGAACTTGTTTCGCGCTGAAAAAAGTGATTTCATCCCTAATTTTACCATAACGTTCCACCTATACGGCATCAAAGTTGAGGTTCCCAGTTGTTCGGACTAATTTCATCACATTCGTGGCCGGTGTGGGAATAATTAACTTAACGAATTATACTGCGTATGAGAGAGAGGTGGGCAAACAAGTATTATCGTCAATTTTCGTTTGTTTTCTGTTTTTCGACTAATTAAATTTGCAAATGACAGAAACGACGGGCTGTTCTTCGATGTTACACAACATACCACGCAGAATTCAGACTAGCTATGCGAAAAAAGCGTCAACTTGCAAAAATAAGCGTATTTGATGATCCTAGGCATATTTTTGTTTTTAAAGTTGTCCTTAATCTTGCTCGTGTCCTGCAACACTTCCCGTTTTGAGTGCTTAACATTTTTTGAGACAAAACCTCCTTTAAGCTTCAAAAAAGTTCCGAGCTCTTCCTGACGCCACACATTATAAACTCTCATTCACTTTAATATAAGAAGCTGCTGTTTACACAAGATGGCTGTGGGTATGCAGCATAAAGCAATGCCGATGGAGTTCACATGGCCCTATCGTGGTAAATAACTGAAGAAAGAGGAGAATATTCCGCGCTTTGTATTGCGGGCAAGCACCAGTACGTATATAGTAATTTTGATGATGATGATGATGATGATGATGATGATGATGATGATGATGATGATGATGATGATGATGATGATGATGATGATGATGATGATGATGATGATGATGATGATGATGATGATGATGATGATGATGATGATGATGATGATGATGATGATGATGATGATGACAGAATTCACACTGATCCGACTGCGAAAAATTCAGTGCCTGGGTGCGTGTCGAACTCACGACAGCAAGGGGGGCTTTAGTTGGGACGAAGTATGGATAGTCAGCTTACTGTATCAGATTTGACAGATTTCAGACGTAGCAGTAGGTTGGGGAGGTAACTTGACGCAAATGTGTTTAAACTCACGGCTCCCAGTGGGGCGTCGTAGCTCAGGTGGCTAGAGTGTTGGCGTGTACATAAACCTTTCCCTTGCTGCCGAGGGTTCGATTTGCACCGAGGAGCCGAGTTTTTCACAGTTGGGTCAAACGGAATTATTTGAAATCTACCAGAACACCTCTGGATGACATAATTCACGTACCTTGCCAAAATTTCGGCAATTACTACTTATGACGGCTTGTTTTCTTAATGGCAGCCAGTTTAAATGGCACTGAATGCTCTGCATGCATACTCAGCGACTATGCTATGGAAGAAGAATCGGTCGCGTTAAATGCCAGCTAAAATTGGTGCTCAGAACTGCAAATGATCTACCTGCCGGATGGACACTGAAGAGTAAGGCAGTAAAGTACAAAACAGAGTATTCTTGAACTTTGAAACAGCAGATGGTAGGTCTGTGATCTTTCCCGTCCTCAGTAAGGCCAATGCGTGACCGCGTCTTTCAGTGGATTTGTCGACGCCTCATTCACTTTCTTAGGGCGCAGGTCAAGATCGGATTTTTCATGAACCACTTCGAAAACTTAATGGGATCTTTCGGGACAGATACTAGACTGACCTCTTTTCATCACAGTTAGTCAAGCAACGGCGTGGAAATCGGGCAAAAAATCTCAATTGGTTCCGCAGGCAGCAGAGAAAACAGCGTCTAAACCACGATCACTATCTCTCTCTCTGCTGGCTTGATATATCCTTAAGGTATTAGTCCCATTGTGGGCAAGTTTTATCACTGAACACGAAGTCGCGAGTATGACTCAGAGCATCGTTCTCGGGTGACGTGTTGATTGAACACATCAAGTTGGCACCTGTTCTTTACGCATGCAGTCCAGACACTTGTGCCCTCAGACAGTAGGTGGTTTAGAAGCAAGGGCAACCAGTGCGTGATGACCCGTTTGGCAGAATGAGAATTCGCTGAAAAAGTGGAATAAGTGTTCCGAAAGGATTGAGGTCCTTTCTCCAGTTCCAAGACAGAAGCCTACGTGTAAATCGTTGAATTACTCTTCTCCCGCTCAATGTTTCTGCCAGGATAATCCCTGCAAAGCCGTTTATCTAGCATGCAAGTGCGGACGCATTGACGGCTGGACTGTCGCAAACGACGAGGTGGGGCCCGCAGGGGCGACTTGCGCAAACTCTACCGAACTCCTCCCTTTCAGCCGCCTGACTGAGGCGACAATGCAACGTCAAAACGGTCGGAGGTGACCGCGGACGCAGAGGGTGATGGAATTAAGGGGTCCGTCTGCGCGTGCCACTCACGACCCAGAGTGCGTGCCTGATCTCATTAAATGTTGGCTGAAATTCTAAAATGCGTTTTCGAATGGGAAGGATTACTTGGTCGCGGTTGTAATACTGATTAACTTGCCGCATAATTCTATAACATTTCGGACTCGGCAAGACGGCAGCTTTTGAATACACTGCTTTTCAGTCTCCTGTAGAAAACTTACTGGGTAAAAAAATGACTACTAAAGTAGCATGCATTTTTCCCGTTGATTTCCGATGGTCTTGCGAATTGCAATATATATTTTAGAAACCATAAACAAAAATATGCTTTCTTGCAGTCAATTAATAGAGAATCACGTCTTCTTTATATTTTATACTCAAGGAAGGAGTATCATTGGGTTTCAAAAGTTTCTAATTATGGGATTTTTTAAGACCGTGCATTGTCCATTCACATGGCATCGTACCTGGCCGTTTACCACAGCTCCTCATGAAATGTACAAAATAGTTCGCATTTATTGCAAAATTTTATGGACTCTGCATGATATATTTTTAATAGCATAGAAAAATATGTGACTTTCTTTACGCATAAAGCATGCACCTTGTAAACCGAAATCACTAAGTACTCATGCAATGAATAATCCGGCTCCAAATTATTTGGCAATTAGAAAACTTTTTTTAAAACCTAATTATACTCCTCCCTTGAGTATAAAATATAAAGAAGACGTGGTTCTCTATTAATTGCCTAAAAGAAAGAATATTTCTGTTTATGGTTTCTACAATATATATTGGAATTTGCAAGACCATCGGAAATCAACGGGAAAAATGCATGCTACTTTAGTAGTCATTTTTTACCCAGTAAGGTTTCTACAGGAGACTAAAAAGCAATGTATTCAAAAGCTGACATCCCGCCGAGTCCGAACTGTTATAGAATTATGCGGCAAGTTGATCAGTATTACAATCGCGACCAAGTAATCCTTCCTAACGAAAACGCATTTCAGAATTTCAGCAAAAATTTCATGAGATCGGTCTCTCACTGTAGTTCCCACAAGCCGTAACCATCCGCATCGAAGGACATGTTTCCCGCTCAAGTTAGGCGTGAGCGCTCTTGCATGCGATGTTTCACCCGTCATATGGACGCTGGTAAAGCAGGTTGCACTGTTGACTGAACTGTGTTGTTTTAGTAAATTATTTTGTGGATGTGCATGTGGCGGAATAGGCCATGAGATGAGCCAGTCTCCTGGAGCCGCATGGGTAATTGAGACGGGAGGGACGGATGTATGTCGGAGCTCCTGGCGCCGATCAGTAGGTCCCATTGTGGTAGATTCGCAAGTGACCGGCTAGGCAGATGCGTGACGTGAAATTGCGGTCGCAACGGGGGCAGGTTTCAATTGACCTCACACTGTTGGTGGTAATAATGGGAACGCTGCCAGTAATAGTAATAATGGCAATCACCGGGAGTATGTGAAGGCAGATGAATGGGTTTCTTTGCGCGACGTGGATGGAGATGACGACGCTCTGTGTCGAAGGCAATGATGATGAATCCGAGAATGTCTGCCGACTCCAATGCGTGTACTGCAAATCGATTTACAACGGCCTTTTTGTTGGTAGGCGTTAGATGCTCAGAGAACTGGTCCATGTTATTCGAAATTCGCATGCCCCCTCATTAATGTGAAGACAGACTTCTCGCACAGCCAGCGATTTCTGGTGTGGTCTTTTCTAGTCACAACATTGCTTTGGAGATGATTGAGAGAGATCTTTAGGGTGTCTTTGTGACGGCGCCTTAACTCACCTTGTCCGCCAGCACCCGCTAGCTTGGCCGGACTCTCGTCATTTATCCTCATGAAGCGGCATCATCGTGGCGTGGATACTGTCGATGACGGTTCCATCTAAGCGTGTCAGTGTCGGAGATCCTCTCTTGCCACGTATTCTTCGAAGACAGTTGAGATGAAGATGACTTAGTGTGTGGGCGTAGGCATATCTGAGCTGCTGTGGGGTATACAGCGAAGCTAGAATTACGGTTAGGTTCAGGACGAGTTTAACGCTGCGATTTGGGTTTGCGGACAGCGTTGTAACCGCTGGAGAATTATTTAGGGAGAGGCAAAGATTTAAATGAGTCAGGTTGCCTGATCATGGCTTGGTTTAAACTTGAAAACAAATTCAATCCTGTTTATGAAGAAGAAGACACGATCGCCGGGACAAGAGCTTTATTAGCCTGACGTTTCGGGTTTCTGCTCGAACCCATCATCAGAGACAATAGGAGATATGGGTGATTCATGTAGTCGCCATGCTACCGCATTCGTATGAACATTCACGGCTCCCCCCTCCCCTTCATCCGGGATCTTTGCACGTGGTGTGTTAATTGCTTGATGGCCGACATTTAAGTCGATAATTGCTGCAGTTTCATCACGTGTGTTGGATGTTGGTATGATGATTGTTCGACCATCTGACGCATCGATCCTGGTGTTGGGAGAGGTGTTCACCTGTGCGCCCCCCGCGTGGCCAATTACTCCGCCTAGACGAAGTCTCAGCACAGAGTATGGAGGGGAAAGTTCATTGCACTCGTTTATGAACTGGGGGCTAGTCAACCATGACTTAATTAGCTCCCGGCTCACGCGGATGTCACCTCTTGCGAGAATTTTGGCCTCGTCGAATTTGAATGTGTGGCCGGATCTCGTTGAATGAGCCGCAACTTGGGAGCTGGCGTCATTTCTTTGTACCGCTACTGCGTGTTCAGCCATTCTCGTTCGGAGCTGACTTCCGGTTTCTCCGACGTAGTTGCCTTGTCTGCAACTGTACCAGATCCGATAAACTACTCCAGACGTTTCTGGCCGTGGCAGCGGATCTTTCGGTTTCATTACCAGACGCCTGGTGGTTGCCTGGTTATTTCGTTAATTATTTAATCTTTGCGTTAGACCCTAGGACAAATTCTAACGCCAAAGTACAGAGGGAATCCTGGAATATTTCAAGAAAAGTATTTAATGATTGTCTTTTGTTCAATTTCCTTGAAAAATTTTATCAAGCATATAATATTGGATGTTGTATTAATAGGCAAGTCAAAAGAATCAAATACGGTCTGAAGTTGGTGTTCTGTTTCTTTAGCAAAAAGCGTTAAATGATGGGACTTTCTAAAAATCGAATGGGTCACTTTTGACCTATCCAACTAGGTGCACATGAACTTTACCCATTCAGATTTTACGTGTGCCTAGCTAACCCTAAAAACGATCAGACATTTTCTCGAGAGTGTCGCGTTGGCAATGGTCAGAAAATTCAATTGCGTGTGATGTTCGATTCCACCGGACCATGTATGTTCAGTAAACGTATGAGAAAATCTTAGTGGAGTTAAGTCACCTCAACTTCTTTGTGAGCATGGTGAATATCGTTGCCTTAAACATAAAGCTTCCTCAAAAATGCAAAGCCCACCATACCAGTTCTAGTCTACCCCGCCAGTATATTCTCCGTGTGGCCACTCCTAGACTCTTATTGCACATCTGGGCTGAAGAACGCTAAACAGACTCATCGACTGGGCATTCGACATGACAGCCTCTTCCAACCCCATCCACTATAAAGAAGTGTGAGAGCGTTAGTTGCCCTCTCCTTTTTATCTCCCCTTCTTACCTCCTTACATCGGTTTTGATTTAACCACTCCTCTTTGATTTCCAAATGCTGACAAATGGGACCTGTCCCCTCTTCCCACCCGCTTCCGCCCAGCGGACGATTGGACTATACAGAGGTGAGACGTACAACCACTTTAGCAGTAGATAAATGCTCTACAGGTAGCCCACTTACTCAGAGGCCTTTATTCATTCTACCCAGGAGTGTGATTAATGACCGCAAAGCGCGCATTCTCGACTTTGTGATTGAAACCGTGCATGGAAGCCGAAGTAAATAAAAACTGCAAATTACTTGATTGGAACCTGGAGGATCTCTTTCAAATCTACAGGACCATGTTCCCTCTAGTAACGGGCCATGGGGACTAATGGCGTAGATGCCTTTGGATATAGCAACACTTTTAAAAGGGATCCTAATACATGAAAAGAAGGCAGCTGTGTATGAATTACGACTTTTGCGTAGTCGGTGTGCGTGTCTTCTCGAAATGCTGTTTCTAAGTACCGTCTGTTATTAATTATGCATCATTTATCACAGCATGCACACATCGAAGTTGCAATATAGAGGTCTACAGGAGAAATAACCGGTGTTCTTGACGCTATCGAGAAAATCCATAGGGTTGGGTGAATGAACATTCCATGGACTGATTGCCGAGGCTGTTCTGCAGAGGCTCGAGCGACTGGTCTTCCATTCGTACTACCAAAAATTTTGGGCCAGATACGTCGACGAAATATTTGTTGTAATCAAGAGGAAGGACGTTCAGGACTTCAAGGTCTTATTCAAGTCAATATTCCCCGATACCCAATTTACAATGGGCGAGGAGAACAGCAACCAGTCGCCCTTCCTTGACGTAAACGTCACCAGGAAGGTTAATGGGGGAATCAGAAATACTGTATACCGAAAGGCAATATAACTAGACGCATCCCCCAATTCCGCAGTAACCACCCAATTGGTCATAAACGCAGTTGTGTCAGAGCTCTTTTATAACGAGTGCAAACACACTGTAATGACAACGACGGGAGAAGGGAGGAAGTGAAATACCTACATTCCATATTCACAGCCAGTGGTTACCCACGATCCTTCATACGTGAGTGCCGATGAGGGTTTGACCGCGAACGATTTGACGATGAGAAGCCGCAGTTTTGGCGCTTATTCACCTACACGGGGAATGTTTCTGAGGTGACAGTAAGAATCCTGAGCCCTTTTGGGATTGGGGTGACACATAAACCGGAATCCACTATCAGGCAGCAGATAATGAGACCCAAAGACCAGCTACCTGCAACGGAACAAACAGCAGTGGTCAACAGCATACCTTGCCAACATTGCAGTGCGAGGTATGTTGGTGAAAGGGGTAAACGCCTTTGCACAAGATCGCA